TAGGTACACCCGGCAGAGTGACGAGCCGTAAATGGGCATTGAATATAGCCAATCATTTAATTATTTGTTACGTGCGATAAAAAAGCAGCGGTTGCTGCGTATCGTGCAGGCCTCACCGTGAGCCTTTGGGCGACATCTAGAACTGCATGATGTGCATTGTTTTTCTCTTTACTAAATTGGTCCTTCTTTGATGGATGCATATCTACGTCTTTCCTCTTCTCTGTCATATAAATAAACATATTCTTTAATAAATTTCATATTTGAGGTGCTCAGATGACCCTGTCATAAAATACGTTGTTTTCTGTTGAAATAATGACAATGCAGACAGTTGGTGCTCTGTGTGAATAGCCAGACAAACAGCAGGCAGATTATTTCACATCCTTTTAAATCAATAATCAACAAACTTTTGAAATGGCGATGAGTGAAGGAAGCAGTGGTGAAAAAATTCATTCAAGATGAAATCGGAAGAAGAATTTAGCGAGATCCCTCTTACAAAAAATGTAGGAGACCAATTGGTCCGCGAGGAGATATGGAGAAGTTAAGATTGCCACGATAGTGGGAGATAAGACAGTGCTGTCAGTGAAAAGTGCAAGGGATTGTAACGCCCCTTGTTGTTAGAAAAATCATATAGTAGCTCGGTTACTGCTCACGTTCATATAACCGTACGACTGGCCACATCATCAACCATAAGGAAGGCGTTTCGAAGGATTTCGTAGAGCTTTCGTTATATATGCGTATAGTGGCTAAACCTACAACACGTATAGAAAGAGTATTGGAAAAGACGCAACGAAAATTTCCTACCGTAGAGCTAATTTTTTGTAACTAATCTACCGTGCTATTCTAGTGGAGAAAGGTGGAAAACTGTATAAAAATAACAATAAAAGGTGAGCAATATGACTCACTAGATCCCCAACGATCCTTGATAGCAGTAGCCAGGAAATTGACTTGACATGGATGGATTAATAAACGTTGGGATCTTCGTCTGTCAAACCAAAGTCGGGAGATTATCACCAGAGAATAGTGTCAGTCA